ATATCGAATATATTAATATTTTATCAGTTTTCTCTTTCCATAAATTAAATAAATAACTCTTGACTGTGATATATTATTAAACAAAATATTTTACAAAAGTAAATTAGCTGTAGATTGCCAGGTGAAGAGTGAAGATACACGTTATTACTATATCGTCTATTCAAAAGTAACTAGACATCCGGAGTGTATTACTCCGTATATACGTGTGATCTTTGGCGAACTCATGATTATTCTTTTGTTTGTCCATCGAAAAGTACGTGCATACATATATATGTATAAATATACATACATACATACATACATACATACATACATATACACGTACAATATTTTTTCCTGAACACGGGATGCGCGATTCCACGACTCAATATATATTCCATAGCAAAATGAAAGATAACTAAAATTGAAATTAGAATATACACGACAATGAGGGGAGTACACCCGCAGGTCACGTACAGTTTTACCCGATGTCGTTGAAGACCAAGTGTCGATGTAACACAAATCATTCACATATATTGCATTAGAGGATCAAATTCTTCTCTTTCTTCTCTCTCTCTCTCTCTCTCCCTCTCTCTCTCTCTCTTTCTTGCTCTCTTGACATACTCAGAAAAGCGTTTTGTGTTATTTTGCTTCTTAAAAAATGAAAAAAGAAAAGAAATAGCGAGTAATAGATGAAGACAGGTCCGGACAACATGGGATCCGAAAAAAGACAAAGCGGCTGAAGGCAGGGGCATGGAGGCATGATGCATGATTATCGTCAATGTCTCGCCACACGCGCACACAATCCTCGAGCACAAAGATGTTGTGCTCGACACAATGCGAAAATCGACCCAGTTCGCCGTCGTATTCTGTGTTTAGTCGCTTTTCAATACCACACGATAAAGTAGTATCCGTTTAGATCAGGGATAACGAACTAGCGGCCCACGAGTCGCACGAAACTCTGCCGCTTCTACTTTCGCTTTCCTGTTTCGCCGAGCGATCAAGACTTCGTCGCTGTACGTTCACCTAGCCGGGGTTCGTTTCGAATCAGAGATTCCGAGTGGCAACCCGAATACGAAAATTCGGAAAGCAACCGTAACCCTTGCAGCTTAATAGTCGACTCGAATGTCCGAGACGGGGATGACAAAGAATAATCTTTATCGTCTCGTATGATTCTGTGCTATCGTTGGTTAAAATATAACGTCCGGACGACCGGACGGTTAGACAGCCTGACGATAGAGAAATCTAATAATAATTATTATAGTAGATTGCGTGCGATTCCAGGCTTCGAAGAAGTTCGTCACCCCTGCATTACGCTATGCTGGACTGAGGTATCGAGAGGCAAGATGGTCGTTTAACTCTAGGCAATGGCGTAAGGTTACAAGTGAGAGTTATGAGGCTGCTGTTCGTAAAACAGTACGTAGGCTTCGCTGGTGACGACCGATCGTGCTGGAACCACGGACACCCTACTGTCGTTGTACTCGTGCCATTCGCCCGAGTACGGATGCTTGCAGTACGCGGTATAATGACCAGAGTACGTGGTACCCGAGTGGTTCGCGACACCGTACAAATTGTAGGTGCAGCCTGGAACCCTGGGTGCGGCGAAGGCACTGAGATCCAATCCCGTCAATGGAAAGTCCACCGTTACGTTCAGCTTGCCGCGGAATCGTTCCATGGGAGAGAAACGTTTCAAGTCTACAGAATTGTTCGTATTAAGGAAAGTACGCGCAAAGCATCGGTCCCGTGAAAAAGTAATTCGAAACAAGTTGTTTCATCCGGATGTACAGGTGTGCCGGACATATCGGAAGATGCCAGAGATGCCACCGATGGCGAGAGCCATTACCGTTCGGAACGGTGATCGTTGAATAATTCAAAAGGATACGAATAACAAGGATCTTCGGGAATTTGTGTATGCTGAAGCTTTTGGTGCACTTTCTCCTCATCTGACACTTTGAACAGGTCGGCTTCTCGTCACCATCGAGGACCTCTTCTCGAGTGAAGTGTTCCAGACATTGGCTCAGCTTAACGGTGCCGCTCCTGGCCGGTATCGGCAGACTCAAATCCCAGAAAGGATCCAACGTTACCGATACATGGTCGCAAGCTGTGCAGCGCAACGACGAGCGTAACTGACCGACGAACACGTCCACTATCATGCTATCCTCGCTGCGCAGATAACGTTTCCAGCTCTCCACGGCTTTCTGGCTATCCCTGAACGATCGGGAAATTCGAAAATATTTTAGCGCGTCGTGCGATGGTGAAACGACGGAATTACTGTAACGAGAGAACTACCGTAATGGTTTCTTACGTATACATATCCGGGATATCGGTGTGAATCGGCGGTGGCTTGACCGTCACTCTGTTAACGTCCTCGTGGAGTCCTTCCAACAGATATCTAAGAAACTCTTGCGCATCCTGTTGACTGTATCCCATGAATCTTGGCGCAAATCTCTGTATCTGCGACTTGAGCGCCGTGGTGTTCACCACATGATCACCGCCCACCTCCCACAATTCGTGTATCACCTGACTGAATGCCTTGATCAAAGCACCCTTCATGCTGGACGTTGTCACGTTGATGTCCGCCAGGTACTGTTCGTTCAACAGGTATTCGAGCAACGGTCTCGTATTGCTCAAACATTGAATCACGCTGTTCATGAAACACTGGAAATACAAAAATAATACAAAAAATACATTGTCATCGTCTGTATTGCCGTAATGTACCCTGTCTACATACGTATATAGTATAGCAACAGAGTATGCTACTCACTGTATTTCCAATATTCCTCAACCCGTTCAGTCCGCATCGCTCGTCACGATGCGCTTGAAGCCGATTACGTGCCGCTTTGTTCGTTGGGCTTCCGTCCTGTAAAGTAAATCATGATCGATACTCGTTTAATTCGACAGGTGCGCTCTAAAGGAAATAGTACGTAGTTTGTTTCTACGGGGGTTACAGATCGTCGGATGCTGTCGTGTTTCTCTGGTAAAAGCACGACAGGAGTTAGGCTCAAGCATCGAGGATACAGTTTGCTCCTTGAAACAAGAACGAACGAAAAAACTCAGGGGGACGATACTAGACGATAAGCGGAGAATTAATGCCGGGTGCGGGGGGGGGGGGGGGGGGTTAAAGGG